AAAAAAAAACTCTATTCCTGCTTTATTAAGACTGAGCTGGGACAAGTGCCTCAGTGTACAGGGAGATTACGTTGAGAAATAAAAGCATTTTTCAAATCAGTACTCTTATTTGTTTAAGTTCTTTATCCATTTGTAACTTACTTATTGACTTACCCTCGTAGGTTTATTATTTTTATGGCTCTTCATATTATAATGATTTTGTCAATTTGAATTATTAGGGTTAAAAAACTTAAATTAATAGTTATCCCTGCAGAAAACAAAGTACAAAGTTGGTAGTCATATTCAACAATAAACCAAAATAATATGTTCAAAACCAGCTTAATCCAAGTGGATTCTAAAGGGTTCTGACAGGTGTATAGCACTCAGAATTACAGGGTTTTTGTACTTCATCCAGGGACAAAGTCCAAAAACCCAGTTATCCCCAGCTTAATCCAATAACTTCATCACATTTCTCTAATAAGTATTTTTAGTATATTTTAATAATATTCTCAAATTTCTTCTTTGGTCTCTCATGTTTTTTGTTTCCATGAGATTTTATCACTGAGATTGTTTACATCTCATTCTATTCCCCTACACATACACATGTAGTGTACATACATTTAAAATGAATGTTATACAAGCTCTATTAATGTGGTATTTATTTCTGTTGACACAGGATTTTTAATAGACTTCATCTCCACACCAGTTATATCTGGATTTACATCTGCCTACTCTGTCATCATCATTGTATCTCAACTAAAATCACTTTTTGGTTTACGCAAGTTCAAGACAAAAGGTTTTATTGACAATATCAGCAAGCTCGCAGTTCACCTGCATGAAACCAAGATTTGGGATGCTGCCTTGGGAATTTTTTGTATTATATTTTTGCTGATTCTCAGGGTCAGTTTCAGTCAGTAACTTTTACTATAAAATATCTGTTATCTCTGGCCATTCAAAGAGTTTTAAATGTCCCCTAGCCCCTGTTGAATAAAAATAAGAATTAAATATTTTGTATTTACAGTGGAATATTACGGGCACAACTTTAATGTAAATGTGAAATATATAGATTAATTACTAAGACTAAATAAATATCACAAAAAAAACGTGTGAAATACCCCAATTTTTTGTTTGTTTCATTGGTTTCTAATTGTATTCATATCCTTCTGAAGATGGTCTATAGGACTGAAAAATGTAAAAGATAAAAGATTAAAAAAAAACTTTATCAGTCACGCTGAACGGAATTAATTAACCTTTTGTAACCTTAGTGTTTCATAAGAAATAGCAATTTCAAACATTTATGTGAATGTGGAAGTACTCTGATTCCACATAAATAAATTACTGTAGCAGAAATTGGCAGAAAAATTTCAATTTTTATTTATCAGTATCACACATTCTTGGATGATATATTCCAAATACCATTTGAAGGACACTGAAAAAGGTTGCACTTCTTGAGTTTACTGTGTTATCACTGATAGAGGTAGGAAATAACTAGTTTGGAAATATATGCATACTGTAACTATTCTGTGGCATTTGATTCATTTTGCACAGTTGTCACAAAAGAAGTGTACTGGTCATGAAATGTTTTTCACTTTATCTACAATATATTTCATTCCAATAAATATTTAGTGAGTTGTGCTTGAAATGTGTGCAAATTGCACATAGATCTTTTACAGCTCATGTTATTACAATCCAATTTTAAGTATAATTGTAATTTTCCTATAACCTTTCATAAGACTCTCCAGTACTAAGGTTAATGTTGTCTGAAATGTGATTGTGTGTAGTTTGGTAAATGAGTATCAACGTTTTGTAGGAATGTGTTGCCTCCATCTTTGAGGCAGAAGAGATGAAATGGAAGTGGCACATTCCTTCACAGTGGTGCCTCTCTACAATATCCATATGGTGGCACATCCCATAACATCTTCATAGGCAGCTTCATGAGAACCTAAAATCTCTGATCCCTAATATAAATTTTCTCAAAGGTCTGGTCGGTGATTTAATGTTCCATAAGTCTGCAGAAGTACTGCAGAGATATTCAGCAAAGTTAGTAGGTGCATGTTTGCTAGAAAGAAATTAAAAAAAGATAGTTTTAATTTTATTAAAGAAACAATTGTAGCAGCACTATCACTCATATTTTAAATATTTTATGCCTACTAAAACAATGAGCATTGAAGAGGATGTTCTTCCCAATCTCTTCCTTTAGAAGTTCTCAGATGTTCAATTGAGAGATGGCATGTGATGTAGTACACATTTTCCGATACAGTATTTTTATCTGGGCAAAGTCATTCAGCTCTGAGTTATGATAGAATCAATCAGTTGGACGCTATGTTTTATTACCCTGTTCTGTGTGAGTGAAACATTCTTAGTACTGAAGTAATAGTTTTTTCTTCTTTTTTTTTTTTAAGAAAGCAAAAGATGTCCATCTGGAATCTCCTGGAGATGCAAATTTAACCACACATCAAAAGAAGATAAAAAAATGTTTATGGTTTATCTCCATTTCTCGCAACACAATTATAGTGCTTGTCTCAGCAGTCCTTGCATTCTTGTTTGAAACAGCTGGTCTCTCACCATTCATCTTATCAGGTATGCTGAGGCCATTACAGTGATTTCCCCCTTTCTGATTTACAGAAATAAATTTTGTCAGTAGTTAGAGCTAGTGTTAGGCATCATGGTTCAGAGAAACGATTGCTAATTTTATTGTTATATGCATTACTTACTTACGGAGCTGAGCCCTTCTTGAGGAGAAACCAAATCTGCAACTACTCAAGAAGTTCCCAGCATTTTATGGAACCTGAAGGTTCATCACCATGTTCACAAGAGCCCTCCACTGGTCCCTATCCTGAGCCAGATCAATCCAATCAATACCATCCCATCCTATCTAAGATCCATTTTAATATTGTCCACCCACCTATGCCTCAGTCTTCCAAGTGGCGTCTTTCTTTTTGGCTTTTCCACCAATATCCTATATGCATTCCTTGTCTCCCCCATTCATGCTACATGCCCTTCCCACCTCATCCTCCTTGACTTGATCATTCTAATTACACTTGGCGAAGAGTACAAGTTATGAAGCTCCTCATTATGCAGTTTTCTCCAGCCTCCTGTCACTTCATCCCTCTTCAGTCCAAATATTCTCAACACCCTGTTCTTAAACACCCTCAGTCTATGTTCCTCCCTTAATGTCAGAGGCCAAGTTTCAGACCTGTATGGAACCACAGGCAAAATTATACTTTTGTATATTCTAATTTTTATGTTTTTGGACAGCAGACGAGAAGACAAAAGGTTCTGGACTGAATCGTAGCAAGCATTACCCGAGTTCAATCTCATCTTAATTTCTTCCTCAATCAGGTTTTGATTTGTTATTGTCATTCCCAAATATCTGAACTGTGCCACATTTTCAAAACATCTGTTTTCTATCATTATGTCACTATTTTGCCCTGCATTTTGGTGACAAGACAGCAACATATACAGTAGAACTTGGTTATAACGTCATCAAAGGGACCTAAAAATAGTGTCGTTATAAACAAATGTCGCTGTAACCAAATGGGCACTTCCACAGTAGCCTTATGTTAGTCACGTAAAAATCTACCAAAAACCGAGTTAAAATGTTGCATTTTTTAGTGAAATACGTAATTAAGTACAGACTAACGTAACATTAACGTGGAATTGCCCAAATGTTTAATATCAGAGACATATTACAGCGCTTTTCACTGACAATACACACCGCACTAATACTGTATATTAAAGGTAGGCCTACTCACCAAATACAGTAGATTACATCAATTATTGTGCCTTACTGTACCTAGATACGAGTACAGTAATCAGTTATCTTCATCTGTTTCCTGTTACTTTCCCAATACACACTTTCTAAATTACGTTCAATGTCCATATCAGAGAAATTCAGGAATGAAAATGACGTTACATACGAGGTTGATGCATTTGTGCATGTCGTACTAAGCAAGGTATAAAAACAGTTGCTTTATGAGGAATTAGTTCGTACCATTGAATATTTGACGCAATAGACAAGGTGTCGCAGAAACCGATCTTGTTATAACCAAGTTTTACTGTACTTCGTTTTCTGTGTTTACTTCTAGATCAACCTCCTTACTTTCATCAATTAATGTTTGTTTGTTTTTCTTTATGGTATCTGTATTATCACCCATTAGATTCACATCATTGGCATAGACCAGCAGTTGATGTGTCCTGTCTAAATTTAGTCCCACCAGGTTTTCCTGAACCTTCATAATAGCACATTCTATAGCAAATTCAGAAGGGAGTGGCGATTAAGCATCTCCTTGTCTTAGACTATTCTGGATAGGAAATTTATCAGACAAATGTTTACCTGTACAGACTTTACTATAAGTTTCGTTTAAACACATTTTAATCAGGTTAACTAGTTTCATGGGTATCCCAAACTCTATGAGAATATTATACAATACTTCCCTCCTATCTGAATCATAGGCTTTCTTGAAGTCTATGAATAGCTGATATACTCGTACTGTCTCATCGTACTCCTATTTTTCCTCCAATATCTGACGAATGCAAAAGATCTGATCAGTAGTTGATCTGTTATGGCAAAACCCACATTGATGATTCCCAATAATTTCATCTATGTATAGACTTAACTTTGAGAGAAGAATATTGGGTAAAATTTTGTATGAAGTTGATAGCAGCGATATCCCACGATAATTACTACTGTCAGTTTTATCACCTTTCTTTGAACTAGTACAATAATGGATCCCTTCCACTGATCAGGCAATTTTTCCTTATGCCAAATAGAAGTAATTAGCTTATGGCTCTTAGAACGTAATATTGCGCCTCCTGCTTGAACAAGTTCTGCCAGAATTTGACACTACCTGGCGATTTATACCTTTCCAATTTTGCAATAGCAATTTCAACTTCAAAAGGGCTGGGATCAGGTATTGACGGCTCAGCTGTGTGAGCATTTCTACCTGCCTAACATCACTGACCCTATGTACATTCAATAACTGTGATAAGTAGTTCTTCCACCTATTCAAAATGTGGGAATCTGCAAGCAGATCACCATTCCAATCCTTCACTATGTTACTTCTAGGTTGGTAACCCCTCTTAAAGTCATCTATTCCTCTATACAGGTCTCTACTGTTCTTGTTCTTACTATTCATTGCAAGCTCATTAATTTTGTCTTTCAGATATTCCCTCTTTTAATGTTATATGCCCAGAGAAGAAAAATAAAACAGCTCTTATATAATAATTGAAATTAACTCATAGTTTATTCATAATTAAAAAGATTAAAATGGAGGCATCAAGATTACAGGTCACTAATGGAAAAACTGTAGGAAATCATGAATAATGTAGGAAATAACAGTGATAATATTATTAATAACTATATTAGGTGAAGCTCAAATATGTACCAAGTGGTCATAAATGGACAGTAATGCAGATTTTATGAAAGTTATGTCTGTCTTCTCCTATTCTGATTTTTAATTAAAATACCAGTAGGACAGATATATTATCCACAATCATATACATAAAATCTCTAAATATTGCAAAGGAAGTAACACATAACACAAAGCAAGAAGAAAGTTTAATATGTTCATACCTCATATTTTTTAACCAGATGCTATTTTATAAAATTAGACACAACTTTTTTATGTTATAATTTTAAAGCAAATTTAAGCTCTTCCTTTTAACACAGAATTACTGGGTCTCAGGACTTTTTGCAAAGTGGTCTAGAGTTCTGTGTAGTAAAAGACATTTTGGAAATTGGATCTGTTGCCATCTTCGGGTGATGAAGAAAAACACCTACTCAGTTTGGCCCATTAGAAAGAGCTAATCTGAATCACTGGACAACTCCAGTCAGATTTACCCACTATTTCAACATATAAAACTAGGCCAGTTCAGCTGGAGATAACAAAAAACCATAAAATAAAAATTGTCATACAGTACGCATATGCATGGAACTAGGATTAGAAAAGGAAGTAGAAATTTATGTTAGAAACCTAGCTGATAAAAGGTAAGTGCATGTGCACCAATGTGAAGAAATGGGAAAAATTTTTAAGATATGTAATATCTACCACTAGTGCCATCTGTGTAGTAAACCGTGAACACTCGAGACTGGAACCGAATGGAAATGCATGAACAGTCTCTCACGTCATGCAGATCTTCTCTGTGAATTAGAAAGTTAACTTTCCTTGAGAGATGCAAATCTCAGGGCATCATCCCCAAAGGTTTCACCATTAAGACTCCATTCAACAGTCAACGCACATTCAAAATTGTCCAACATGCCAGTTGGGTACTTCTCAGGGACAGAATTCACATCCATTGGTACAATAAGGCCTCACCACTGCAGAAAATCCAGGAACTGGAGAATTTTCTCAAATCATCTCTAGTTAATTCTGACCAACATCATGTCTTCACCACAGTCAAAAGCTCATTTAGGAAAATTTTTAGCAAGCAAAACAGACTCATATTCATAAATTTTCTGCCCTTAATAATCAACAGAATAGGCCTACTCCAGTATCTACCTGCAACAAATTTATTCTCAGTCTTCCTGAACACATTCCCACAGACCTGGAGGAAGCAGTCCTCAAGACAAGTGTGAATTCTTCCATAACATAACCACCCTCCAACCTGGATATGGCATGTGCTGTGGAATCCATTGTTTCCAAGCTTCCACAGACCCTGGGTATGGAGTTCAGATGGAAAATCAGGTCCATGTTAGAGAAGTCTAAGCCTTCCAGACCTAACATGACCACGAAGGAGTTGAAAGCCATAGAATCTTTGAGGCTCAACAGTGATATTAGGATTCTTCAGGCAGACAAGTGCAACTGCACAGTGGTGTTTGATGAATCGAAATACAAGGAGAAGTTGAACACTTTGCTGTAGTCTGGGTTTTATGAACCCTTGCCAAAAGATCCTAAAGCTAAAATTGAAAGGAAAATACAAAATCTCCTTTCCAAGCACAAAACTACTCCCCCCATTGATCTTAAACACAAGTTGACTCCACACCACAGCAAACCTCCACATTTATATGGTCTGCCCAAGATCCACAAACTGGACAGTCCTCTTGAGGCCTATAGTGAGTTCCATTGGTTCCCCTTGCTATGCCCTGGCTGGCTCTATCCATAAGATGCTGAGTCCTTTTGCTGGAAAATCGGGATCCTTCATTAAGAATTCAGGCCACTTTGTAGAGCTGTTGAAGTCTGTAAATCTTCAATCCTCAGGTACCTTCGTTGGCTCTGACATCGTTAGTCTCTTCAACAGTGTTCCAATTGACGAAGCCCTACAGGTCATCAGAAATAAGCTCCACAATGATGACACACTGGCGGAACGGTCTGCTCTGCAGGTGGAAGACATCATGAAGCTGCTGGAGGTTTGCCTAAAACCACATATTTTCAGGTGGACAACAAATTCTTCCAACAGAAAGATGACCTATCACCCATTGTGAGCAACATATTCATGGAGCATTTTGAGAAATTGGCTCTTGAAGTGGCATAACATGAACCATAGGTGAAGCTCCAGTACGTTGATGACACGTTTGTGGTCTGGCCTCATGGTCCAGAACAGTTACAGGATTTCTTCAGCCACCTCAACAGTTTAGGGCCATCCATCCAGTTCACCATGGAAACAGAATCAGACAGTGCAATTTCCTCAACTTCAACTTTAACCATCTGCCACATGTGAAAAGAGGTTTGATTCAGAGTCTGCACAACAGAGCTTCCACCATATGCCAAGGACAAGACCTGGTTAAAGAAATCTGCAGCCAGAGAAGTGATCTCCAGCTCAGCGGTTATCCCCAAGGTTTTGTTGACTCGGTCATTAACTCCAATGGTAGCAGTTGTCCGAATAAAGAGCAAAAGCCCCTGGACTCTGCGTACATCCCATATGTGACGGGTGTTTCTGAGAAGTTCAAATGTACAGGAAATCGATACAACATCAGGACGAACTTCAGAACTGAACTAAACACACACTTAGGAGTTCACTCATGAGAACAAGGCTGGAAAGATATCTGCAACAGATGGCGCAGTGCATCTACAGTATTCCTTGTGAGTGTGGAAGAAGCTACATTGGTGAAACAGGGAGATCTCTAGCTGTGCGACTCCATGAACACAGGCAAAATCTCCAACAGTGTCTACTAGATAAATCAAAATCAGCCCAACCTGCCTATGAAGAGGGTCACAGAGTAGGGATGATGCCAGGATTTTGGAAATTGAAAGTAACAGCATGTATAGGAAATATAAAGAACTGGCCCATATGGCATGCATAACCAATCCAATCAGCCAACCCAGTTTGGACATTTCTCCTATCTGGATACCCCTCATCAACAATGAGGTTTCTAACTCGCAAAGAAGATCTGTATGACGTGACAGACTCTTCATGAGTTTTCATAAGGTTCCAGTCTCGAGTATTCAGGTTTTACTCCACAGATGGCACTAGTGGTAGATATTATATATCTTCATAATTTTTCCCATTTCTTCGCATTTGTGCTCATGCACTTGGTTTTTGTCAGCTAGGTTTCTAACACAAATTTCTACCTCCTTCTCTGTCCTAGTTCCATGCATATGTGTGCTGCATCACAATTTTTATTTTATGGTTTCTTATTATCTCCTGCTAAACTAGCCTAGTCTTATATGTTGAAATTTCTGGGTAAATCTGACAGGAGTTGTTGAATGATTGAGAGTAGCTCTTTCAAATATGCCCAAATGAGTAGTTGTCTTCCTCCCTCACCTGAAGATGGAAACAGATCCTGATTCCAAGACATCATGTGTTCTACTACTTAGAATTCTGGATGATGGAAAAAGTCCAGTAATTCTGAGTCATCCACCATCATCAGAATCCTTTAGAATCTACTTCCTTTTAAGACATGCCATCTCAAGATGACACATGTGGGTCAAGACATGTAAACATAGTAAAAGAAATTCAGTTCAATTTTTAATTGAGTTCCTTCAGAAACCATGCAATACAGATACAATTCACAAAAGTAAGCCAACTCAAATATCATATTCTGGTAACAAAAATGACATTTATAAAGTAAAATGTATGTTGTAATAACAGCAGGATCCCAGCGATCTTAGCTCTCTTTTAAATTGGCTCATTTCTTCAACTTCCCTAATTTTACCTGGTAATTTGTTATATAATTTAATTCCCATATTCATTGCACCCTTCTTGAAAGCATTTGTTCTACAAAACTCATGCATGTTACACTGGATGGTAGTCTTATTAAGATTATTACCAGCAGGGCTTTCATTAGATTATTGGGTAGTTAACTAAAAATTTGAAACAATTTATTTGTACTGATTTGTATAAATATATATAAAATATTTGCATGTAACCATTATGAACATATTATTCATTCTTTTAGTAATTACATTTGGAATGCTGGATGGGGATGGTTATGGCAGATGAAGAAACAGTATTTTGTTTCATTTCCATATATGAATTCGAAACACACAATGGGCAAAGATTGATTTTCTAAGGAAGTAAAAATTGTCTCTTAACAGAATTATGTGTTAATTAAATATTTGTGTTCATGGAATATACATTTTTATGTATGTTGTTTGTGTTACTACTACTTTGATTTCATCATTATGCATTATAGGGCAAATTGAGTCAGGTCTTCCACCATTTCATTTTCCGGCTTTCTCAATACAAGAGAACAATTCTACAATCACGTTCCCTGAGATGTGTTCAGAACTTGGCCTAGGCATCATAGTGATTCCTGTGGTTGCCATATTGGCTAATGTGGCAATAGCGAAAGCTTTTGGTAAGCACCAGTATATGGTTATTTGTATATTACACTTTGTTGGTCAAGAGAATGCCTTGAGCCAACTTATGTCTAATATTTTAGTTATTTGCATGCACATGCGCACATAATGTACTCCTTCCTGTTATGGTAATTGGTCCACAGATCTGAAACCATAATGTATGATAACATACTGCAAATAAAGAACGTAACAAGTCTGAGCATTTGTGATGCAGAAATGATACTGCACAATAAAGAACGTAACCAGTCTCAGCAATTATCAAGTAGAAATTTTGAAGACAGAAACTATAATTTGCTTATAGTCAATGCAGCCATAATGACAGTAATCTCCAAAGGGTTCAGGTACAGAGAATTACTGTATCATCTACTTTCAACACTTGCAGTTGTTCAGAGCATGCTTATGAAATTGACATTAAAAGAACCAAGTCCTCTGACATCTGCAGCTCTTGGTTTTGATTTGGGAAATATTTTGATAAACCATTAATTAAGAATATTATTAATATGAAAATAATCTCCTGTGAAATTCACTTCTAAGCCACAATAATACTTATGAAAACCTTATAATTCTCTGGTTCAATTTTATGTCCAGCTACTGGCCCATCATTTGATGCAACCCAAGAAATGTTGACCCTTGGAGTTTGCAATATATTTGGGTCATGTGTCTGCTCCATGCCAACATGCGGGGCTTTCACGAGGAGTGCAGTGAGCAGTGCAAGTGGAGCTAGAACTCCCATGGTGGGCCTGTATTCAGGTTGGCATTCTTCATATATAACGGTGAAGTGATCATTCTTATTTATTATTCAAGAAGTTCACAGTCCAGATCTTGGCCATGAGACGACTATTCTGATATATCATTTATGGTCATTACCAAACTCCTCCAGATAAATGCAAAAATAGTACCTTAAAGAAAAACCATAACTGTATCCACAAAGCCCTTATTAATTTACAACTGATATTCATGAAGTTTTGCATTACTATCCTAAATAGTGAGACAAAAGAGTTCAGCAGAGAAAAATCAAAAGAACAAAACTGGACAAAAAATGTATTTGTCAAAGAATTTCTACATATATGTAGATATATGAATTGTAGATTCTTTGCAGATTTTGTCTTTAGTATTATATCTCCAGTTTGTTCTTCTTATGCACACTTGTTCTATAAAATTATCATCTTCTTGAATACATTGTCTTGAACAGTGAAAATTCTCTTCTTACAGTTGATTTGATAATAAAACAGGACCATATTGAAAGTCCCAAATTTAAACTTCCTCTCAGAGACTTTTCATGGCTCCTGTAACACTTATCAGCACTGATACTTCGTGTCTCATATAAACTTTATGAAATCACACAGAAGGAAGAACAGAAGAACTTAACTCTTTGACTGGCGCNTTTCGTGCCAGTCAAAGAGTTAAACAAGCTTATATTCACATTAAATGTCCTATAAGCTCACATATCTCTTCAAGTTTTAGCGCTTATAAAATGTGCCTCATTTTCTCCAGGAACCCTGATTGTGCTAGCACTCAGCTTACTTACTCCTTATTTCTACTACATTCCAAGATCTACACTAGCAGCTGTCCTTATTTCTGCAGTTGCTTTCATGTTGGACTGGAATATCTTGAAGATTTTATGGAACTGTAACAGTAAGTAACAACAAAAAGGAAATGACCATTCAGACAGTCCATGCAGATTAAAAGAGTAGCAGTCAATGAAATTCTAACTTTGTGTTGCACATGAAAAACATGTGGGCAGGAATAGGCTTATTGAATACAGAGATTACATTTAGTGTACTTCTTGCCTAATGCAAGCATCATCAAATTGAAGTGACAGAATAAATTTATTCCTTGTCAATTATTAGCCACTTTTCATACAACTTTGCTTTTTAAAATATTTTAAAAGTTTTAAACCTTAAAATCTCTTCCCCATTACTGGTGAATACACACTACATATTTCGACCAACATTGGTTATCTTCAGGTATCTACAAAATTGCTGCTGTAACTGCTGTGCTTCCAGCCGTTAGTTCCTTTTTTGTGTCTTGTGTAGAAGATGAAATAGCCATCACCATAGGACACATATTAATAGATAGGGCATACTGCAAAAAGTTAAACTTTCAAAAAGTTTTTAAACAACAAGTTGCATTAAAGACAGCTGATTACTAACCAGGAATAAATGAATGATGTACAACAGGATTCTATGGTACAGTATTATAGATGAAAGTCACCAAGCAAGAGTAGATATAGTTCACAAATGAAGTAGGTGATATTTTTCATATCTCATTGGCTTCAATGTTCATATATTTAAGATATAAATTTATTATTCTAATACTAGTCATGCTACTGATTTGGAATTACACAGAGTCAGTTATTATTTTTTTTTATATGCTGTTAAATATGAAGGATAATAAAAATATTTAGTTTGGCAGGTGTGGACCTTAATCAGATCTATATTGTAAAATACTGGGGTTGGACAAAATAATAGAAACAATGCAGATACTGTAAACATTTCTTTATTAATATGGTGCTGCACCATCTTTTGCCTACAATACAGCCACAGTCCTTGGAATGGACTCATACAAGTTTTGAACAGTCTTTAGAGCAATTTTACACCATTCTTCATGAAGAACATCAAGTTGTTTTAGAGATGTTGGAGGTGGATCAGAGTGGTTCAGTGAAATTCAAATCTGGCAATTGTGCTGGTCAGGGAAGATGTTGAAGATCATCTTCATGCTCTTCAAACCATGACTGAACAGTTCCAGCTGTGTGAATGGGGGCATTGTCATTTTGGAAAACCACATTGTTGTTCAGAAATAACATCTGGAAAATGGGATGCACCTGATTACCCAACATGTCCGTGTACTCCCTTGCAGTAATTCCATCATGAAGGGTAATAATGGGGCCAACAGAATAGATAGACTTGAAAGGATTCTGACGATGGTGTATACTGTACTNCGTTTTTTCATTCCATCACTGAAAAATTTTTCTGACTTTTCTCGAATCCAGGACTTGACAGCTGCCTTCACCTCANGACGATGGGTGAAGTCCAAAATAAGCCAAAAGAAGTCCAACAGAATAGCACAATATTGCTGCCAAAACCATCACAGAACCTCCCCCATATTTTGCTGTTGGAACCAGGCATTCTGGATTGTAGGTTTCCTTGGGTATTCTCCAAATGTAAATTGTTTTTGAAAGCATAGAGGAAACACCGTGAAGGGTGAGTCATCCGACCATATCATATGCGCATTTCCAGTTGTCTGATGTCCAGATTTTATGTTCATGATACTATCATTTGTGTATCTGAGCATTACTTTCATTAATCAGAGGTTTAGCAGTTTCAGCCCTACTGCTACCATGGATGTTGGATTTGTGATGCTCACATCCGACAGTTTTTGTGGAAACAGGGTCTTCAAGATCAGGTCTGCTGTCACCTGTGTGGCAGTAGTTGTGTGATTTTTCAAACAATCCTTCCCAATTTACAATAATCTTGCGAGATGTCGATACTCACTGAGACATCCACTTGAATCTGTAACAACAAATGTTCACGGCACTTAAAGCGGGGAGTTTGCCTGAATAAAGTTGGCAAAAACTTTTTTGGTAGTGGCTAGTACAGTCCGGTGATGATAGTGCCAAGTGCAGGCCTTTAAAGGCCGTTCGTCTAGCTTCATCTTTTTTTCAGGAGCCCGATGTTCTTCTTTTGCTGCCCCCTTGTCTTCCTTATAGCAGTTCGGTGTTCTTCCTTTCTGCCACTCGACGATTTTTAGTTTTAGGGATAGCAGCGAGCATAGCGAGTGTGACTGGCTAACAAAGCCACAGTGCATGTGGCAGCAGAGCAGGCTGTCTATGGCGCACGCGCTGGCAGAATCGGTGTAGTGCTTGCAGTTGCAGTTGTGTTGAGCTCTTGCTGTCAGTGTATCTGTAACTAATGCTGGCATCAAGTCAAAGTCAAAGTCTGACTTTGCCTTTGACTTGACATTGTGGGAGTTGTCTCTTGTCTGCTAGATTGGTGAAGTTGTGTGTTAGAATGTGGGAGGTTCCCACATCATCTTTCTCTCAGTGTTGACTTTAGCCCACTGTTCACTGTTGTCTTCCCATGATTTGTGTATACCAACATGACATTAGAAACTATAGCTCTCAATACATTTAATAATGTGGCAGTTTTATCACAGATGCTCCAGCTAAAGGTGCACCAATGATCTGTCCTCTTTCAAAATTGGACAAGTCTCCACGTTGCCAATTCTTTCACATGGTCTGTCATTCAACGCAATCACCCACGCACTGCCTTGAGAACTACCAGTATTACAGAATGTAAACAAAGGGTAGAAGAACATCCAATGTTGTCAACTGAAGTTCTTTCATTGTAGCCAATGCAAACAAATTCTATTCCTCAATCTCTTACTGTTTCCATTGTATTATCCACACTCTGTATGCATCATTTTCGTTTTTTGAGAAATTTGATAAACATTATTTATACTTGTATGTCTGACTTTCAGCAATTAAAATTAAAGTAAATTGAAAATCTTCACTGTAAGTGTTCAGTTCCAAATCTCACTAAAATGTGTTCAATAGCTTTAGAAATTTTAAAAATTTACAGATACAAATATACGTTTAGAGTTATCAGCTGACTATGCATTTTTGTGCCCTTTGGTAAAGAACACAAATAACAAAAGAAGTACACAAAATTACCAGTGCATTTCTTTGACGTTTATTGAGCTTATTTTATTACTTGAATATTTTAATATATCCATTACAATTTGCTCTTTGGTGTGCCTTAGTTTGATGCCCTGATCTTATGCTCTGTCATCCTTCTTAAATTACTATTCCTCATAATGCTATATTTTAGCGTCCTGTTGCACTGATTTAAGTCCATGANTCCTCTGTGACAGTCCACACTTGCTACAGTTCTCCGTGGATGGTGTGGTCCTCTTCAGTCATTTCGGAAGGGTGACTGGTTTATTGGAGAGACTGATTTATTAACATGTTATGACTTGTTTCTCACATCTGGACAGAAAATAACTGCCTTGTTTTTGTTTACATGCACTTTGGATGGCTGGAAGGGGACAAGGTCACATGGGAGGCAAGTCTGTAATTTGCCGAAGATGTGAATTTTGTTGTTGGCATGTGTAGCTGACATAAAGTGTCTTTGGAAGGGTGTAGCTGGACCCTTAACTAAAGAAAACAACCGCTCTCACATGTGGGGTTCCGAGTTCTGTATCTTGGGAACTACATGGGTAGGCTGAAAAGTAATGCTAACATGCTTGTAGAGCGCGAACAAAAACAAATAGCAAGATCGGGCAAAAAGTACATTAAAGTACAATTCTTAAATTTCAAAAGCATATATTTATTTTTAAACATAGTCACCATTAAGGCTAACACATTTCTCCCAACGTGTAACACGTTTTTTCATTCCATCACTGAAAAATTTTTCTGACTTTTCTCGAATCCAGGACTTGACAGCTGCCTTCACCTCATCGTCCAAGGTGTAACGATTACCCTTGTGGTCTCTCTTGAGTAGAGGAAAAAAATAAAAATCACAAGGCGCAAGATGGGGGGAATAAGGAGGGTGTGGAATCGGTTCAAACTTCAGGTTTCGCAGAGCCTCTTCAGTTGCGCGCGAGGTGTGTGGACGAGCGTTGTCATGTTGCAAGATTATTGGCGCTAGGCTGCCTCTAACATGACAAACTCGATGCCGGAGGTGTTTTAGAGTCTGTATGTACTGAGAAGAATTTACCGTTGCCCCTCATTCCAGAAAATCGGTCACATATACTCGGTGAGCATCCCAAAACACAGTCAAAAGAAGTTTTTTGGCGGATGGTTGTGTTTTGAACTTTTTCGCCTGAGGAGAAGACGGATGTCGATATTCAGCGCTCTGTTTTTTCTCTTCCAGGTCGTAACGATGGACCCATGACTCGTGCCCCATCACAATATTCAAAAGAAAGTCGTCTCCTTTGTCACAGTAATGCTGCAAAAGTTGCTCGCGGCATTCCAATCGATGCTGTTTGTTCTCGTCTGTGAGACGGTGTGGTACCCATCGTGCACAGATTTTAAGTTATCCCAATTGTTCAATAATGAAGCTGACATGTTCCTTGGATATTCNATTTCAAAAGCATATATTTATTTTTAAACATAGTCACCATTAAGGCTAACACATTTCTCCCAACGTGTAACACGTTTTTTCATTCCATCACTGAAAAATTTTTCTGACTTTTCTCGAATCCAGGACTTGACAGCTGCCTTCACCTCATCGTCCAAGGTGTAACGATTACCCTTGTGGTCTCTCTTGAGTAGAGGAAAAAAATAAAAATCACAAGGCGCAAGATGGGGGGAATAAGGAGGGTGTGGAATCGGTTCAAACTTCAGGTTTCGCAGAGCCTCTTCAGTTGTGCGCGAGGTGTGTGGACGAGCGTTGTCATGTTGCAAGATTATTGGCGCTAGGCTGCCTCTAACACGACAAACTCGATGCCGGAGGTGTTTTAGAGTCTGTATGTACTGAGAAGAATTTACCGTTGCCCCTCATTCCAGAAAGTCAGTCACATAAACTGGGCGAGCATCCCAAAACACAGTCAAAAGAAGTTTTTTGGCGGATGGTTGTGTTTTGAACTTTTTCGCCTGAGGAGAAGACGGATGTCGATATTCAGCGCTCTGTTTTTTCTCTTCCAGGTCGTAACGATGGACCCATGACTCGTGCCCCATCACAATATTCAAAAGAAAGTCGTCTCCTTTGTCACAGTAATGCTGCAAAAGTTGCTCGCGGCATTCCAATCGATGCTGTTTGTTCTCGTCTGTGAGACGGTGTGGTACCCATCGTGCACAGATTTTAAGTTATCCCAATTGTTCAATAATGAAGCTGACATGTTCCTTGGATATTCCAATATGGTTTGCGATTCTCTTTTGAGTGATTTGTTGGTCATTTTGAATCAAATTGTCGACGAGTTTGCGATGATTATCGTCTGTGGCAGTGATCGGATGTCCGCTGCATGTTTTATCAACAATTATGGCTTTTCCAGGCTCACAACCACGAAATTTTATTACCCATCAATTTACAGTAGACCTATCAACAGCATCGTCACCATAAACAGCCTTTAAACACGATGAATCTCAGCAGGAGTCACTTTTTCAGCAGTTAAAAATTCGATAACAGCACACTGTTTAACTCGTGTTGACTTAGCACTAGAACACGTCTCCATACTTCCGCTTCTCGAAATACACTGGATGAACGCAACGACCTCAAACCTGCGCATGCGTATTGAGGGGGAATGTTACTTCCACATGCTACCTGGCGCGCTTCTGAAGGTCATTTCGTTTGCGCTCTACAAGCATGTGTGCATTACTTTTCAGCCTACCTACGTATTTTATTCTCAAAGTTTGTTATGTGATTGGCTTTTGCCAATTGCATGATTGATTTGGCTAGTTAAAATCAGCCAATAGGAAATTAATTCTTGTCTGGGAGAGAGAGGCCATCAATTCAAATCTTCCTTGGGGGATGAAGCGATGCTCCCGCAGGATACCAGTCTTCAAAAACTTGGCATTTTTAATTTATTTGAGGCAGACATCATTGGACTGCACTCCTATGGTTTTCTAAATTCATCAGTCCTTCAATGTGGGACATTAAAATTTGATAATATTAAAGGGCCATATTTCTCCATGCTTGCAAATGAAGTTATAATATTTCGCTTCTTATTAAATAAACAGTTTATGGACAGTGGGAGTTGTGTTGTTAATTTCAAGCAGTAGACTGACTTCAGGCGTGCAATTTCCAGTTGCCACGGTTATTACCATAACATCCTGATAGGAGTCAAGTGGACTTCCAAAGCTGGCATATAAGTACAAAGAAAGAAAGGAGGGACGGTAACACCACTAGTTTCAGACTCGTCTGTTACACAGTAACATTTTAATCATATGTCTGTTATTACACCCTCTAATCATTAATCATTTGAGTTATTTCTGAGTCATTTTATTACTACAATCTTGCATTTCTCTTTTTATTTAATCATATATTGCCCAATTCATTGATGCTGCTCTATAAACTTACATCCTACTATCCCTTTAATAAGTGTTTCTTCATTAACATTCCTAAATGTCTTGCCCAAAATTTGTTCCCTCCTAATCTTTATTCCTTCATACCTCTCCTTATAACTTCCATATTTTGAATTTTTGTATTAGTGTCCTACATACTTATTTGTATTGACAGTGCTTCCATTCTCCAACATGTTCCCTTGCTCAGCCTTTCCAATATTACTTTTTCTTATTATTAGTGGGGTGGGACTAAGTCCCTTGTACTGCGGCCACTTCTGGCCTATTGAACCAGCCCCAGATGATAGGTGAGGGTGATTGTGGAGCAATTGGTGGAATAAAGATTGGCAGGGGAAACTGAAGTACTCGGAGAAAACTTGCCCCAGCGCCACTTTGTCCACCACAAATCCCACTTGACCAGACCCAGGATTGAACCCGGTCTGTCGCGGTGGAAAGCCAGCGACTAACCGCTTGAGCTATGGCACGGCCTTCCAATATTACTTAATTCTATTCTTCCACTTGTTTCTTTCCTCCTTCCTCTGCTGACTCATTGTGTCCCATAATGGATTTGTCTCATCCGTCTCACACAATATTAACCAGTATTTCATTATTTTCTCAAATATTTTTGCCTTCCTGTTCATCCTTTACACTACCTTCGCACAAGTACTATTCACTAATGTCAATGGCACTCCTATCACTCCTTTACAAAATAATTCATGTGTTTTCCCCCTGCCTTCCTTCTACCATTAAAACCCTAGATTTTAACCCTTCTCTTCACCCTTCACTCTGCTAGCAAAGTACATAATTTTTCTAGTACTTTGATCTGTATGACTGGCACAGTTGCTAAATATGCATTAATAATGTCTAATGCTAGTTTGCCCATAATTGCTACCTATGTCCTCTCTTTACCAGTTTTCATTTACTGTACAGGATTACATTAAATACTTTATTTTGTTTATTACCTGTATTTAATCTCTCCCAATTTACATTTTTTATTCTTCCATAATTTTCCCCCCTTCCTAAACACTACTGTCTTTGCCTTCCCAGCTTCTATTCATTGTGAAAGTCCTGAATACAATTAATTGGTCTTTGCAAGCCTATACCAGTTACTATGCCTGCTACTAACTCATCTGTAAAGAAAAATCCTTGTACCTATTTATTCACTAGTAATGGAAAATAAGTATTGGGCTCACCCAATTTCCTCAACCCATTTTTAATAACTATCTTGAATAAAGCTGGAGATATTGAGCAACCCTGTCTCAATATAATTTTTTAATCAGATTCTTCTAATATGTTATTACCAGCCCATTTCATTCCTACCATAACATCCACATATAGGTTCTTTATTCCTTCAATAAATTTAGTTAACACCCCTTTTTTCTCCACACATCTTCCCCAGCACTATATCAAAGGCTCCTGGAAATCTCCAAATCTGTCATATAAAATAAAAAAGAAATTTATGGAAGGTTTGTGGGACATTGTAAAATATCATTTATGAACTAAGTTTTATTATGCAAAAGTATTGCTGAAAATCAAAGTTACCTGCTACATTTGGTGGAAATCTTCTATTTTGAATCTTAAAAAAATCCATGAAATAATTAATGGAATGCATGAAAATATCTACTTATGGCCATGCAAAAACTGTATCCTATTTAGATCAATGTGACTGAAATATGAATTACCCAACAATGTTAAGTGAAATCTGTCATAGTGAATTTTAAGTAACACTGTGAAACAGTGTATAGAATATATGAAAAGGTCAATTTGTGCCTTTATATAAACTATGCTTTGTTCTGGGTCAACATGGTTGAAAATCAGACTTCTCCGATTGTCAGTAAAAGTCACCTATGTCAAATTTCAAGAAAATCTCTCCAGCAGTATAAGAGCTAATACTGGATCACGGACAGACAAATATGGTCTCCACATAAGCATTCCCTTTTATTTGTAAAGAATGTCAAATATCTTGCTTATTACCTATGAACTCTGGACCATTCCTTTTACTAGTATCAGTCCTAGTAACACTGCCAATGAATCTATCCAAGGCCAAGTGCCTATGGTGAATTACACAATAAAGACATTTTTAAAATAAACAGTTTACCCCATTTCAGTTCTAGAAATCCAGAGCTAATCCACTGTTCGTAATTGCTCATTCATCATATTCATAGCCACCCTTCATTCGTGGTACAATGGTAGATGCCTCCACCTTTCACCATCTCAAAATATCCCATACCCTGAAGAAGAGTGATTTATTGTACCTAATACCTTGTTTTGATCCATACACACTCTACAACAACTAACTTAGTACACTTGACCAAATCCACTGTACATCCTTTTGAGAATGGCCAGGCATAAAATATGAACAGTATTGAGTGCCTTTCTTGTTAAGGATTAAACTAATCATATGTTGCATATATGTTCAGTGAACATACATTGTCCTTACAGAGCGTGATCTGTTCCTGGTGGTGTTAACATTTGTGTCATGCCTGGGTCTTGGAGTGGAGATTGGTTTACTGATTGGAGTAGTCACAAATGTGATTTTCCTGCTCTACCTATGGGCTCGACCAACAGTAAGCATCATTACATGCAAGGTTAGGAAATACTTTAGCTCTGCATTTGATAGTTCTACCTACTGCCATCTCTAAATCATGAATTTCGTGTTCATTGCTTGTCAAGACACAGTACCTGTCTAAAGAATATTAAATTTGAAAGAATACATAATATAACAGTAGTTCAATATTTTTTAATTTTTTAGCGACAGAATGAAATCAATTAGTGTGTCTCCTGCTCTCAGGACATTTTCTAAACTGACTATGGAGCTACAGGTATTTCACTTACTTCAAATCTTCATTTAGAACTGATTTTGAATCTGGCTAACAGATTTTTGTAATAAACAGTTAAATTAATTCTTTTATGGATATCTGTTATGAAGACAAATTAACTAAGCAACTCAAAAGAACTGAGCTCTTCTTGAGGAGCCAGCAGCCACTCAACTACTCAAGAATTTCCCAACACTTTATGGAACCCAAAAGTTCATTACCATGTTCACAAGAGCCTTTGAAGACACACTAGTGTTAAAAAAAAAAAAAAAAAAAAAAAANCTGACAGTGTTGAGTTCGATGTACAGTCATGTCTCGATCTATCATTTCCAAACTTATTAATTTGTGGACTTACAATTCCACTAAATTAAATTAGATTCCATTAAATTTTATGCCATTGCACTTAAGCTTCAGATTTTCAAACTTACAACTTGAAACTTTGGCAGAATCTTCAGGAATTATAAGAGTCCCAGAAACCACTCTTCCAGTGTTCTCAACCAAATTGAGTGTCTTAAAATATCTCCCACAACCAGAGCTTTATCTGAACTTGAAGAGATGGTGGAATGTAGGAAGAAAACACACAAACTTTAATTGACACAGTTAAGGAGGTTGGTCTAGAAGTAAACACAGAGAAAACTAAGTATATGTTGCTATCTCATCACGAAAATGCAGGACAAAATCATGACATGAAGATAAGAAACAGATGTTTTGAAAATGTGGCACAGTTCAGATATTTGGGAATGACAATAACAAATCAAAATGTGATTCAAGATGATATTAAGAGGCGATTGAACTTGGGTAATACTTGCTACCGTTCAGTCCAGAACCTTTTGTCTTCTCATCTGCTGTCCAAGAACATAAGATTAGAATATACAAAACTATAATTTTGCCTGTGTTTCTGAATGTGTGTGAAACTTAGTCTCTGATATTAAAGGAGGAACATAGACTGAGGGTGGTTAAGAACAGGGTGTTGAGGAGAATATTTGGACCGAAGAGAGATGAAGTGACAGGAGGTTGGAGAAAACTGCATAATGAGGAGCTTCATAACTTGTACTCTTCTCCAAGTATAATTAGAACGATCAAGTGAAGAAGGATGAGGTGGGCAGGGCATGTAGCACGAATGGGGGAGAAGAGGAATGCATATAGGATATTGGTGGAAAAGCCAAAAAGAAAGAGACCACTTGGAAGACTGAGGCGTAGGTGGGTGGACAATATTAAAATGGATCTTAGACAGATAGGATGGAATGATCTTGACTGGATTGGTCCGACTCAGGATATGGACCAGTAGAGGGCTCTTGTGAACATAGTAATGAACCTTCAAGTTCCGTAAAACGTAGGGAAATTCTTGAGTAGGTGCAGATTTGGAGGCTTCTCACGATGGGCTCAGCTCCATAAGTAAGTAAGGTGGAATGTAGGTTTTTGATAAATGTCAATTTAATTGTTTATAAAGTTTCAAAATGTTTTAGTAGTTTGAATTGTAGCTCATAATGCTTCATGTTGTAATAAATAATCTGGTGGTTTGAATCATAACTTAGTGACAATCCATGGTAAAATACTAACTAATTTTCATATTGTTAATATTTTTAGTAGTTTAAATATTTAATATTATGTTATTTGTTCTCCCTTTGTTGACTGCATAATAAAACAATACAGTTATAGCATTATGTTGGTTAATATGTTGAGAAATGTGTCTGAACCTTGAGCACTAGGAAGGCAACACACCATTAGAACCTCCCACAAACAGACACCTTAACTCCTGCAGTCAAACAGACAACTCAACTCCCACAGAGTAGCAACAACAGGCGATATTTATACACTACAGCTTGCAACCTGGGTGTCTGTACTGCTACACATGCGCTGCCTAATCACCGATCACCATAGCAGCTCCAACATCCATTTGTTGGGACACCGCACAGCGGCAAGGGTATAAACATGCTGGCCTCTGACCTGCTAGCATCAGTCACATCAGTCATATCAATCACGCCTATGCCTGCATCCAGAGACCACTGCAGTAGCAACACTTCTAGCACATCTAGTACCAACATCACAGCTGACTCTACCAGTGATTGCCAGCCCACGCACCATAGGTCTGCCAGCCAGACACATTGCTATCCCACCAGCTCCCAATGACTGGGCTGCAGCAAAGAACATCAGGCTGCTACAAGGAACCATGCCATGCTGGCTAACACACAGCAACAAAGGCTTCGGACAAACTGCCCTTGTCAGGGCCTCCAGTAGCACTGTTATCGCTAGACAAGGCTAGCTGCTACAAAAGGGGTCTCCACCAGTATTCTTCAGACACACTCCCCGTTCATCTGTAATACGTGTTCTAAGCACAATAAACATTTGTTGTTATAGTTTCATGTGGTTGTCCCAGCGAACATTGACATCCCACAGCACTTATTATTAAATATACATATATTGATCAGACGATGGAATATCAATCTAAAGGATGCAGCTTTCCATTTTAGTTTCCTGCTTTCTTGATACCACAAAATGGTGCAGATCCATAGACTTTCACAACTGCCTTGGTATCCTGCAATGTAGCAAATGGTATTCTATTTTTCAAGACATTTAGAAAACTTATCTTTACATTTAACTCAATCATGTTAAAACCTACTTCAAATGTGATAGTATACATATTGTGGTCTTCTGGTTAAGCCTCCATTAGCTGGTGGGTGTGTACCTGCATTTTGTCGGACCATGCTGCCTCCATCTTCTATCAGAAGTCAGAAGCAAGAAGTTCCTCCTAAGTGTAAGTCCCACACTACCAGACTACACTGTACCATAAGACAGAAGACCACAGTATGACTCTTTACCATGATGAAAACTTCAAATAATGTACTGTATATTTGTACTTTTGTTAAACAGATTATTTGACTGTAATGTATCTTGTATCTTTATTTTCATTTCCATAGATCCTGACTGGCTACCAAAGCCATCAGATATATGAAATATCTTCCATCTCTCACAGTGACATAACAGAGTATGTAATTTCAGTAAATGTAAGCCATTATTTGCTCAATGTCAATGTCAATGTTTAGGGATCGAATATCCTAACACATATGAAATATGATTGATTTTCATCTTTAAAGTAAATTTGTATCCATGACATTAATTTTTTACATTAAATAATTTTTGCTGTGGAATTTCTCTAAACAGAAGCAAAATGTTGTAACACTTTAGTGATATGGTGGAACATCGTATCTAAATATAATGTGTCTTAATGCGTATTTCACTTTTTCATTAATCACTGACATGGTCATACCTGCAGACTCCTACTGGTGGTGAGTATGTGATGGTTACCCCAGACAGTGGGCTCATGTATCTGGCAGTGGACTTCTTGTGTACAACAGTGACCAAGGCTGGAATAAACCAGGGTAGTGGTTCCTTGCCACTTGTTATTAATTGCACATACATCAAAGGAATGGACTACACCACAGCCATGGTACTTTTTTAATGTCACTAACATTATACATTAAATATCTTGAATATGATACAGTTACAGATACATGTTTCAATATGTTTGTGGTGCTTGCAGCTGTTTATAAATCCCCAGGCAGTGCCTGGAGTGATGCTGACATTACTGGGCTCTTAAGCTTTAGAAGTCTATCATGGCAGGTGATTTGAATACTAAACACCCATTTTGGAATAGTAGAGTTTCAAACCCCTCAGGTGAGAAACTTATGGATTTGTTTGACATGAGTGAATTCAAAATTTCAGCACCACACTGCCCCACTCATTCCCCTGCGAGAAATGGTGACGTACTGGTCATTGTGGTCCACCAAAACATCAGAGTATCAGATGTCATCGTCTCTAAATTTTGGATTCAGATCACCTACCAATAGTATCCCACATACTGGACCATGTTAAAATTAGGAATCTTTCGGAACCTATTTAAAAATTCACAGATTGGGAAAGATTTCAAAACCACCTCTGAATTAAAACATAAACGGAAACTATGAAAATTGTGGCAATAAACCAGGGATCCCGTGTATGAAATGTCAGTCAACTGGGCCACAATATCAACTAGACAAATGACATGAAAAAAGACACTTGAACGGTGGGAAACAAAGATAGGTATTGCTGAAGTCACACCTCAGGGTATATGGCCTGTTGCGAAATCCATCTTAAAAGAGGGACAGACCAAGGGCACCTACTGCTATTCATGGTGCTTCTGGCCTTAAATTTCATTCTTTCGAAAAAGCCAACAAAATTGCTGACTTGGAAATTCAGTTCACACCGCATGACCTGTATGACGAAAACCATGAATGGTGGGTGGAGGCTAGAGTTCAAGCTCTGCTGGAAAACGTAGACAACCCCTCTTAAAGGATCAGACCATGTCATGTACAGAAAATAATAAAATCCCTGAAATTAAAAAAGGCCTGTGGAATTGACGGCATCCCAAATAAATGCCTCAGGCACCTTCCAAGGCGATCATTGGTTCACCTAACTCATTTATTTAATAATTGTCTTCGGCTCTCTCATTTTCCAAATACTTGGAAGGCAGCAAAAGTAATAACTTTACCTAAACCCAGTAAAGACCTGAAATTCCCGCAAAATTTACATCCAGTCAGCCTCCTGTCCATGACAGGAAAACTATTCGAAAAAGTGATTTTGAAATTACTTCAAAAACATATTGAAGAAAGAGGTCTGCTCAATGCAAGCCATTTTGGTTTTCATGCATGTCACAGCACAACATTGCAATGTATGAGGCTGGTGGACTACGTGACCCTTAATTTCAACAATAAAATGTCTACGGCTATGGTGTTCTTGGACCTCGAAAAAGCCTTTGATACTATGTGGCACTGAGGATTGCTGTATAAGTTATCAGAATTGGAATTCTCGAACAGTTTGACCAAGCTTATTGGGTCCTTCCTCTCTCAATGTAAATTCAGGGTTTCGGTTGAAGGCGAAATGTCGACACCAAGGGAAATGCAAGCAGGGGTGCCACAAGGCTCAGTCCTGTCCCCTACTCTTTTCAACCTGTATATTAATGATGCCCCCCAAACACTTGGTGTTCACCTGACCCTCTTTGCGGATGATGCCTGTCTGTATGTGACATATTGCAAGGAGGGTTTTTTTGTTATAAGGCTCCAGCGCGGTCTCAGCTCAATGGAGACCTGATGAGAGCACTGGAATATTAAAATTAATGAAGATAAGACTCGGGGGGGGGGGTTCTACTTCTCTTGCAGTCTTCGACCACCTCAGTCTTGTCTCTCTCTAAATAGACAAAATATTCCATTAGTAAATAGTGCAAAATATATAGGTGTAATCTTCGATAAGAGAGTTGCATTGAGATTGCACGTAGAAATGTTTGAAGCCAAGGCCTTTAGAACATTCAGTAGAGTATATTCCCTATTCAAACGTGAGCGATTGAGCACTAACATTAAATTGACCCTCCACAAAGCTCTTATTAGATCAGTAATGACTTATGCTTATCCCACCTGGGTGTTTGACGGGCTATGGGCTGCAATTTCAATGCCTGCTAAACAAGGTTTTCAGCACCATTGGCAATTTTCCAAGGCACACACCGGTCTGCGATTTGCACGTGGCATTCAAAATCCCGTACGTATATGACTATATAACAAAATTATGCAGGCAACAAGCAGAAGTCATACAGAATCATGATAATGAGAATGTTCGCAACATGAACAAGGCAAAGGCTGATACAGAAAATATAAGAGGCTTAAACTTGGCGGCGGTCAGGCATACAACCGTTCAAGTGACTAGACTGCCGTGGTAGCGAATACTGCTAGAAATAGGGCATAATCTGCTGTACTGAGCCTGGACAGAGGCCTTGTATATATTGTACATAGAAGTACGAATTAAGAGTAAATTTGTAAATATACAAGGTCCGTATAAAAGGTATCGGGGAAAAATCTTTCCCTTACGTGACTGTACACCGCAGCACGCTCGCACCTCGCAGGCGTGGTAGTGGGGGGTCTAACCTTTAACAAGCGCCATTCGCCTGAGCGCGTTTGTAGAGGCCAGCCCGTGTTTTCAGTGGACCCCTGTCGAGTGAGTCGGTGCAAGCGCAGAATGCAGCGAACGATTGAACAGAGGTACGCCATAAAGTTTTGTGTTGGACTGGTGAAATCGGGTATGGAGATGTTGGGCATGATTTGCCAAGTGTTCAAGGATAAAAGCATGTCACAAACTGCAGTTTTTAAGTGGCACAAGCTCTTCAAAAGTGGCCGACAGATCGTGGAGGATGAGCCCCGCGGTGGATGGCCGTCGACGTCAAGAACTGACGACAATGTGCAACGTGTGCGTGACGTACTCAATTCAGACCGTCGGTTAAGTGTGCGCATGATTGCAGATCATGTTGGCATTGATAAGATGACGGTGCACACCATTATCACTGAAGATTTGGCGATGCGAAAGGTCTGCGCGAAACTCGTCCCGAAGGTCTTGATGAATGACCAAAAGCAGAGATGAGTGGCTGCTTGCGAAGACCTTCTGCAACGCATTGAGGAAGACTCCGGCTTTCTGGACAATGTCATCACGGAAGACGAAAGTTGGATATTCGAGTACGACCCGGAAACAAAGCGTCAAAGTTCCGAATGGCACACTTCAGCATCACCTCGTCCAAAAAAGGCGCAAATGAGCAAATCCAGAATGAAAACCATGCTCATCGTTTTCTTCGACGCCCAGGGGTTGGTCCACTACGAATTTGTACCTGAGGGGCAAACAGTGAATGGAGCTTTTTACCTGGAAGTGCTAAGAAGAATGAAGAGAAGGGTCAATCGGGTGAGGCCAGCCATCGCCGGAAATTGGAAATTGCATCACAACAATGCACCCGGTCACACCTGCTCCAAGGTGACCGACTACCTGACAAAAAACGGCATCGCGACAGTACCCCAACCCCCCTACAGTCCCGACTTGGCACCAGCAGACTTTTTCCTGTTCCCGAAAGTGAAATCCTCCCTCAAAGGGCACCATCATGGGACCCTGAGTGCCATCAAAGAGGCTTGCACGCGGACCCTTAAGGACCTTCCGGAATCTGCCTACCAGGGAGCCTTCGTGTCATGGCAGTGCCATTGGCAAAAGTGTATCGATGCACAAGGGATGTATTTTGAAGAATTTTGAGGCATTGTAGCAATATCTGAAATAAATCTATTTTCCCGGAACTTTTCCCGATACTTTTTATATGGACCTTGTATGTAAATAGTGACAATGGATTTACTAATACAGACTACGACTGACAAATGACAGACCCGACCTCTCGTCAGAGAGTGCTCTCCACATGAACAGGACAGTAACTTTCATTTAAAAGGAAACATCTGGTCATGAACCCCAGTTGGGGCTTGACACCAAGACAGACAGACTTACTGACTGTCAGTCGCAATGTGAGTTTGACTTTGACTTGAGCTCTGATTGGATAGCGCTTGTGTTGGTGTCCAGAGAGCCAGGCTGTAAGTGATGTGTTAATATTGCCTGTTTTCAGTGCACTACAGGAGTTGTCTATTATGCACTGTGTGAGTTTCCCACACTTAATAACACGGGAAAAAGTACATGAGATAACTGCATTTGTAATACAGTGCTTTCCTGTTTCTACACAGTAAAGTGAGTGGCATAAATTTGTGACACTGAATTTCTTTTCCCAGGCACTGAAGGTGGTTTACAGGACTTTCCAGAAAAGACAACAACCACTGATTCTTTTTAATGTTAGAACAGGAATTAAATCCATGCTCCAAACAACTGCTGATGTAAAGATGATATTGTATGCTGACACTGAGAAAGAAATTGTGGACCTTATTTTTGGTAAGACTTAACTCAATTTGTGCAGTGTATTAAATTATGTCATATTATGTGCATTTAATTACAAAAGATATATACAAAGGTTTGCTTTTTATAGGTGAAATATTGGATCTAGAAAGATCAGAAACAATACCACTTATAGAGAAAGGAACCCAAGAGCATGAAGTTACAATTGAAATTGAAACTGGCTGCATAGATGATCTGATTCAAGACACTCTGGCATCAAATGAATCATCTCTTAATGAATGTGGAAGAGATAAATAAAGAACATCAATCTATATTTGCTTATAGAAGAGAGTGTTCAATATGAATAAAAGCAGGTGCGAACTAATCAGATTAGGTTATTACAAACTGAGTAAATACCTTTCAAGGGAATAAGCATTTCTTACTGGATTGTTAAAACTGCTTCATATCATTGCAGAAATGAAGCTGATTACTTCAATATGAGTAACTGGTTGCTTAGTGCATATACAAATGTGGCGCATCTCAGTAAAATATCT